TCAATGCCCCTTCAATACAGATTTGGACCAAGTAGCTTTCCTCCACAGCTTCATGACAGTCTTCGGCTTTGCCTTGAAACCTCTTTACATATTCAAGAATGTCTTCGCCTTCCCGCTGCTTTTCCTTACATAGGGTAAGCGCGGTTATCTTCTCAGCCGCTTGAAAGAATTTGGTATGGAATTTGTTGACCATCTCCTCCCAACTCCGAACGGAGTTTGGGGTCAAGTTAACGTACCAACTATATGCTCGGTCGGTGAGGGACTTAAAGAATTCTCTCAGCCGGAGGACGTGGTTTGAACCATGAATACCCAGAGTCTCGATGAACCGCACAACATGTTCTCGAGCATTTCCTTGTTTGCCATCGAATTTGATGAACTTCGGCACCGTGTACCCCTCCGGGTATGGATAACTCAACATCTCGATAGGGGTAAGGCGGCTTGACATCCGGATCAGGCAAAGAGGGTAAAGTTCTCTTGCCCCGTTCGAGATCGAACATGGCTTGCACATCGGCGAGAGCGAGAAATTGTTGAGGGAGAGAACTTGATGGTGGTATTCTCAGAACTTGGCTTGTAGACCCGAAAACTAAACTTGGAGCAACTTGGCCATTTGGGTGTTGAGAATTTATCATCAGTGAAGACACATGACAATATTGGCCATCGGCACCTATGGACATGCTATTTGATGATGGGACGTTGCATTGGGTCCCATAAAGTTCATTGCACGCCACGGCTATACTGGGTTGGACTTGCAAACTTGGCGTCAGAGCCAAAGGAGACCCACTTGGTATATGAGTAGAATTTACAATCGGTGGAACAAAATTAGGCATGGATGGAGCACCATTTTGTAGAGGAATTTCTGTAGGCCTTCCTTGAACTTCCACAACCGTTGGAACACCATTCATCATGGTGGAAACTCCTCCAACCACCGCTGGACCATGGCTTGATCCTCCAGGTGCGTGATTTTGCGCTCCATGGGCCGCAGGTTGGCCATAACTTGTTCCTCCTAGCACTTGATTTTGCACACCATTTTGTACATTTTCAAGGAGAATTTGGAGTGGATCTTGATGGTTTTGACCATTCCCAACATTACCATGAAGTTGTTGATGCTTGTCGACGCCGATTTGACCTCCATTTGTTGCCGATGGTGCGAAATGTGAACCCATCACCAACATAGTGTGGGTGAGATTTTGAAGGGTTGCGAGAATCTCTTGTTGAGTGTGTTGGAGTCCTTGAATAGCTTCAAGGATGAGAGGTGAGTCTTGAACTTAAGTCCTCTCATCATTACCATTGGAAGAGCCTTGTTGATGAGTCTCATTATCTGCCATTTTTGCCGGAGTTGTGTAGGCTCCAGATCTCATTGAGACCATTAACCAATCCGCCGCTCCAGTGAAGTCGCCAAATGTATGAGAGGGTTCACGAACGCCGTCGGAAAATTCAAAGATCTTCAAAGATCCTTGAAGAAAAATTCGAATTCTCTAGAAGATGATGAGAGGCTTAGATTCTTCAATAGTCTCAACTAAGAACACAAAAGTAAAGAGATGATGGAGAAAAGAGGTTGGGTGAAGAAAAAAGGCAATGTAGCTAGAGGGAGAATAATGGCAAGGTTCTCCCATGGATCTCCCACTTTCACTCTCAAGGTTGCTAATGGAGAAGGGAAATTAGTTCTTTCCCAAGAGTTTTTTCTCCAAAATCCACCCCTTGTAAAGCTATGGGTGGGTGCTATTTATAGGCAACTCATATAATGTAGGATGGAGCAAATGTGCAAGACACATAGGGAATATTCTCTCTAACAACCTTGTCCGATGAGGTGACCTCTCCGAGGATGAAGAAAACCTCGAAGAGGAGATTAACCTCTCGGCGAACCCTTCTTCTTAGCCACACCTAACCAATGATCCCCAATCATTCCAAAGGGTCAGGGGTAGTCCTAGAGGACGTCCTACCGCATAAGGGTCAGGGGTAGTTCAAAAGAACACCCTGCCACAAATATTGCCGAGTCTTAGGGACCCCCTAGATCGTGCCACCTCGGCCTGGGTATAGGCTAGTTTAACCGAAGAGTGAATTTATCTCCACTCACCGTCCTCGGGATCGGGACCTTTGTTCGGATTCCATTACGCCCATGGTTCTGGTACGTAGATCCCGGAAAGCTCCGAGTCCGCAAGTGTTCTGAGACTCATTAATGGAGCGGCTTCTAGATTGCGTCTGAATCCGTTCGAAACCAAGTGCTTCGGATCTCTAAATTCGTGGATCCGAACCCTTTTGAGTCCGAGCCCGAGTAAGTCTCTAAGTTTGTGGATCCGAACCCTTTCGAGGCTTAGAGCGATTCGGCCCGTTTGATGGCGATAAATCCGAGCCCACCAATCTTGGACTTGCGATAAATTCGGACTCACCAACCTTAGACTATTGGGCATAATTAATTTAATAGGTTCAAATTAACTCCTCTTACAAAGAGTCTTAAGGAGATTCCAATGCGAATTTAATTAAAGAACAATTAGTAAACCAATTGTCATACCAAAAGTTCGTGGAATTCCCATTGCCGATGAGCCATTTTGAGTTCAAAAGAACTGATCTCTTGACACTAGCAATTTCAATCCAAAGTTTCAAGCAACCCAACCTTTTAGACGCATGCCCAGGACAAATGTTTTGCACGTATTTATGTTTGAAGGTGGACCACAGGCTAGTTTCAATAACGAGTTTCACTTCAATAATTTAAAATTTGTTTGAAAAGTAATTTTTTAATTAAAATATAAGAGCATATCCAGTACACAAAACTTCCATTTAAGCGGAATCTAAGATGCATGAAACTCCCATTTAAGCAATATCTAGAGAAGGTTTATGTATGAATGTAATATATATATATATGTTACAATGATTTTTTATGAAAAAAAGTAGAGAAAGTGAGTGAAGAAATCTTTGAACTTTTTTTTTTATGACTTCTATTTTTTTTTTTTTTGACTAAATCCTCATCTTCCCAAACAAGCCCTTAATAATAAAATGCCACTAGATGACTTATTTAGTATCACATGGTAATTTGGGAGTTCCTCCTAAACAAGGAATTATACAATTTGTTCCCCCTTTGTATATGCACCATTAGCATTTGACTGTCCGCCCATCAAACAATTCTTCTTTTAAGAATTTAGATTCAATTTGTTCCACATACTCATGTAAACCATTGTTGATTATATAAACATTCAAAAAGCCCTTGTTACATGAACTTTTTGTTCGTAGAGGGGTTAATATTCACACAAGAAAGATGGCTTTGCCTCATCACAATCTTCATACACAAAAGATCCAAGGCCTTGCAACAAAATTTGATAGACCTTGCAACTATTACATAAACCTTAAACAAAAACTAGAAAAAATACATTTCACAAGCCTTGCGATGAGCTGAGCAGGCCTTTCAGCGAGTATGACAGGCCTTACAGCAAACCAAGTAGGCCTTCTAGCAAGCATGAGAGTCTGGATGGAAGGTCTCATGCTGGGCCTTCACTTCTAGTGGTCATGTACTGGTCAGGGAAAAGTGGCGGCGACACACATGTCACTGTGAACTACCATGTTTGACAGATTCAATGAGTAGTTTACCTACAGACCTGCAGTGTAAGACAAGTGACAGAAATGCGAAAAAGATAATATGGAATACACTAAGAGCAACTCATAACGAGCTTTTAAACGAGGCGTTCTAGTTAAAATAGTGGGTCATCCTCATTTTTTATGGCTACAATAGGGTCTACAAATGACTGGGTATTTTACATACGTCCTTTCATGCTCTTTACGTTTGAAGAAAGCCATTGAAGGCTCTCCAAACCCCAACAACTCGTTTCCTTTCCCTCCAATTTAACACTGACATGGGGTGCCATAAAAGAATATGATGTTAAATTAGTTTGGATGAAGAGTTAGCATAGAGTAGTGGCTCTACCAAAGAGGAAAAAATTGATAGTTGCAATGGAAAATTTAAAAAGACAAAAATAGCCCCTTTACGAACCCTTTCACCTATCTCCTCCCTCTCCCTAACTAGTCATCCCCATCTCTCCTCCCTAACTGGTCACTCCCCCCTTCCCTTCCTTAACCCCATCTATATCGTTGCAACCCGGCAATAATAATGATCTTGAGAGAACCAGAGGGCTTCTCATTGAAATGATGATAACAAAGCCAATGTATGCATTCTAATTAAGTGCACTGGACACAAAACTAGTATTTCAGGAAACTTGATGTGATTGATTTAAAACACATGGATGATAAAATTTCAGATGTAACTATTTTATGACTCTGAAGAGGATAAATGATCTTGTGTTGATGAAAAGAATGCATGATACGCAAGTCTTAACACCTTCCATAACCATAGTTTGCATTTAGAAAGGGACACTATTCGCTAAGTTTTTCAATCCATAGGGAATGCATTTACAATACAAAATCCTTTCTTGTTTAAACATAAAAACAACACAACTACAAACGAATTCGATCACTAAATCAAGTCTATCTCTGCACCCAGAGCACAAAGCTCACACTAAATCGAGTGTACTAAAGAAGAGGTGCCAGAAAATAGGCACAACCTTTGTAAACAAGAGTAACCCTACAATAAATATATCTATGTAAGGCCAATTAAACGAATCAAGCAACTTGAGTTCGACTCGTGTTTGCTTAATTAAAAAATCATTTGAAATCAACTTGTTATGTAAACTACATATTTTAAAGTTCGCTAAGTTTTCAAATCATGCTTAAAAGACATCCTCCTTGGCTCATTTATAACCCTAACCCTATGACAAGTGTTGGGAGAGGAATCTAGCAACAATCCCTTCAATTAACTCTACCCTTCAAAAGATCTCTTGTTTTTTTTTTTTTTTTTCTCTCTCTCCACAAGCATAGATAGCATCACACACAAAGGAAAATACACCCAAGCTTTCCTTCCTTTTGTATTTTTAAGGCCATAACATTAAAAAAATAAATTAATTAATTAAAAACTAAAAATTGGATTGTGAAACAATTGATCATACAAGGTTACACACTTGCTAAAATATCATCAATTGTCCAAAAATTAAATTAAAAGGAGTCAAATTTGAGACGAGGAGGCTTTCAACTACGCAAGAAATTATCATGTGAAGAACCCATTAACAACATAAAGAGCAACGAATAAGAACTTAGATTAAAAGTTAAATTCGAAAATCAAAATCAAGAAAATCATAACCTCCCCTTCTACTATTATAATCGCAAAAATCAAAATTGACATTTAAAATTGAAGTAAAAAAAAGAAAAAACGTGAGATCTAAGTTCAAGAGTGAAGATCTTATTTCAACTAATATCAACAAATTCTCTCAGAACCCTAATTTGACCCCGAAGAACAGAGAGAATACCGCTCTAAAGATCAGAGAGATGACTCAGTCAGATTCATCAGACGAGGCAGAGAACTTCATTTGGTCGAGGGCTTTGTGGTGAGCCCAGGACTCGATGGTGAGATCGGTCTTGGAGTTGAAGCCGAATCCGCAGATGACAATTGTGAGAAAGCTGGTAATGTAGCAAGGAAGCTCCCAGTCCTCCCACTTCCTCCGCTTCCCCGGCGGCGGAGGAGTCCGGTTGAAGAGAAAGCCGTTGGGCCGCTCCTGGTCCGCTGTTGCCCACCGGCACGTGCCCACTGTGGTGCGGCCGCCTACACGGGTGCGGAGGGCGGAGCTCAGGCAGTTCCGGAGCATAGTTGCGGCGGTGGCCAAGAGTTCCGGCGACGGCATTGTTGGTTGTTCAGACCGAGAGAGAGAGAGAGAGAGAGGACTGAACAGAGTGAGTGTCTTAGCCTTTTGTGTTTGTTAAATGACCCAACAAACCAAACCTTTTATGGGTTGGATTTACTTTAATCTAACCCTAGTTAGGATTCGGAGTTAGGCCTCGTTTAACAAATGATTATTTTAATTAAAAAATTATTAAAAAAATTAAAAAATCAACAACATACAGGTTAGAGTTAATTAAATGCAAAAAAATTATTTTTACATATTTTTTCGTAAAAAATTTTAATGTGTACAAAAATTTGACTTTTTTTTTCTCTCTACTTTTTACATAACTTTTCGTAAAAAATCAAAAAATTATTTCAAACATACTAATTTTTTTATATCATATTTTAGTCAAAAAATTTTCAAAAAAGTATGCTCCCAAACGAGACCTTAGGAAATGTATAATGAATTTTTAATTTTTTCATTAAAAAATAAAATAAAATGAATAAGAAAGAGTAAGTTGATGTTTTGTGGTATTTTTAAAAAAAAATTCACTAAATTTTACGTTTCCAAACAAAATTTGTAATTTTAACCTGTGTTTCTTTCACAATTTTTTTTTTTGTTACAGAAAAATCTTCCATACCCTCCTGAAAGTCCAAAGCAGCACCCTCTGTAGAGATCACCAGGGTGTCCTGTTAGCTGTTCCGAGCAAAGAGACTATAACTTGGGAACTTACCCCGACCTCCCAAGACAAGCTCCGCTTAAGTCAGGACTTGCACAGTGGAGGAGTATTGAATCCACACCAAGTGCTGATTAGGTAATTTGAGATCCAACCTCCTAACTAACTGTACTTTACCCAGAAGATTAACCTAAAAGAGAGGAAATTGAACCTGTGACTTTGGGACTTAAACCCCAAGCCTTAACCACAATGACACCCATCCCTGGTTTTTTTCACAATTTGATTAGTACTAATCTGAAATCAAAACTTTGACCAATAGTGTGTACGAATTTAAAAGAGAGAGAGAGGAAAATGTTTGGAACTCTTTGGGGATGGCCTTCACATCCTCCCAAGTGATTATGACTTTTTTATGTATATATGGAGTTTATCCATATATGTATGAGATTCATATTACGAGTGTTTCAGATTTATAGGAGTCTTATAAAAGTCTTGTCAGAATAGGGATTTCAATCATTACTCAAAAGAGGAAGTTCACTTCACTTGCCATTTGAAAAATAAGAAGCAAATTTTAATTAAAAATATAATTTTTTTTATAAATTTATAATAATTTTTTTAAACTATTACTAATTCGTGATTTCCTCTAATTTCAAACTCGAATCACACAAATTAACCTCAACACTAAAAACTAAACAAACAATATTTTGAAATCAGCATAATTTGTTTTTTTATTTGAAATAATTTAATCTTTTTTATTTATAAATGCATAAGCAATCGAGTAAATACAAAATAATTAAATTAAAAAAATAAAATTAGTTTTTTAAGAGGAAAATAAAATTAGTTTAAATTAAATATTTTTATGAATACTTTCAACTTGTAGAAATTAATTTTATGAAATTTAATTTGCAAAGACCAAAAAAAAAAAAAACTTCAATATTTTCACACATTTGGTATTTTTCATTAGAGGTGGATTTTTTTTTAGACATGATACGTTAATATAATACGAAACATACATAAATTTAAAATCACATAACATGACATAAAAACACAAAAAAATAAACAAATTGAGTTAAATGTTCAAAAAAATTTAACACCAACTCAAAATGACTCGAATACAACCAAAATGACACATTCACACTAGGGGTGCAAATCGGGCGGGTTGGGAGGTTATTCAAACCCAGTCCAAGTTGGTTGAGACCTACACAAACTTGCCCAAGTCCGAATTGTAACCCGAGATTGTCTGCCCAAGCCCGACTTGAATTACCTAAATTGCCTGAATTATAAATGAATTTCAAATTTTTTTTTGACAGCTACATTATTAAATTATTAAAATTTCACTCTATTTACATTTTTTTTATTTATAGAAAATCATTAATACCATCAAAACAAATAATTTATATAATGTAAGAGAGATGCCGCTATAGTAGTCCTTGCAATTTATGAGTGCAAATAAAAAAAAAATTATGTTACTTGTATATATAATATATTTCAATATGATTTAATAATCTAAATTACTTTAATATCATGTAATGACTAATAATTTATATGTATATTTAATATTTTTATATATCTATATATGCATAATTCGGGTTTCGGGTTATTCGGGTTGTTTGACATCTTTGTCCAAGCCTATCAAAATTTAATTCGTGCTTTTGAATTTTCACCCAAACTCATACCGAATTTAAAAATATTTTATCCAAACCCTAAAAAATTCAAACTAGATTCGAATTGCTCGAGTTGAGCCCGCCCAAATTACTCCCCTCATTCACACCCTATATTGTATGTGAGACGCACATTTCATATCCTCAATTATCAAGTGTCCAGTACGAGTACTCCAAATATTATAATTCCCTCCCTAGTTTGGGGCCCGCCTTCTCTTTGCAAAAAGACTGAATTAAGGTGCATGCAATGGGCCTTTTGGCTCTTTCATATAATTCTAATGAATGCTCATCCAAATTTTTAACACCAAAATATGTGCAAGTTCCTGTTGAAATTTATGATTTTATAGGCTTATTTTAGACCAATTTTAAGTCCAAATTTGAATGAGTTCCACACGTCTTTTGAGTCTCTTGTCTCATGGTAAGTCACACAGTGACGACGGTTCATCAAAACCATTTATGAGTGAATGAGAAGTTAATATTGTTTTCGAATTCGTAGAATGGACAATTCAAGAAGTAAAATGTGTTTCTTTAGAATGGTTGTTCCACATTGGAAACTTAAGAGAACTTATATGTGTATATAAGTTCTAGGTGGTAACACTTGGGTTGAGTTCCAAGGGGCATCCCAAGTTTGTAGAAGGGAGGAGTTATGGACAAAGTGAACCTTGGCTCAAATCACCACACGCGTGCGCACTATCGTCGACCGGCCGGCCGAGCCATGCCAGGTGTGAGTTGGGTCGGTCCTAATTCAAAACTGTTTGTATCTGTTTAGTTTGGTTTTATACCTGCTCGGATCTGTCTAACAGGTTTCAGTTTGCCTGTAAATACTACATCATTTCAAGCAGGTTCTAGATCCTGAAAAAGTATTTTTGCTTCTCGTTTTTGCTCTTTTGCATTGTTATTCTTCATATTAGTTTTAGAAAAAATTTCAGAGAGTATAGAACATAGGTTTTAGTTCGCCGTACAAATTGTTTAGAGGACTACTATAATTTGTGTAGATCACTGTATACTGGGAGATAGACGTCATTTATCCGTAAGCACCCAAGCGGGGCAAATCTGTCTTAAGGACAGAGTGTCACACACTCGACTTGATCCTTTTGTACTTATTCGGTTCAATAAATAAATTTTATAAGTAATTTATTTTATTTGTTTGATTTAGTTTTAACTTATTTATTTTACACAGAAGATTGTTCCAACAATCTTAAGACAAACTCGAATTATTTTTGTTTATATATAATTTTTCGTTTGTTTCTCTTTCTTCTTTTTACAGAAATTATTTTATGTGGTCTTATAAAATAATATTCTGGTTGGAAACACAAATAGTAGTAATACACTGTTCGAAAAATAGCAGTAATATACTGTTTATTTTATTTGACAACTAGTGGTAATATACTGGTAGTCATTAACAATTCAAAATATTTATTTGTGAAATTGGTCAAAAATTAATTTTGGTTTTCAGAAATAATTTCTGAGTTTTCATTAATTAAAATTCTATTTCAATATTTTAATTTTTGAAATTTTACAGAAATTTTATTTTTCTGTGTGGAATTAATTTGTTTACATAAATATTTTTATTTTCAAATTAATTGAAAATAAAAGTTACAATTCTTGTTTCTTTTATTTTTACAGAATTAAATTCTATGTTTATGTTTTAAATTTTCTGTGTACTGTAAAGTTCTGATTATAATTTTGTTTTATAATTAGAATTCATGGCTACAGAAACTGGTCAAACTAATGTTCAAACCAGTACTGGTATAGTGGCTACAATTGCGCCAACCCCTCCTCATGTTGTAATTGTGCCAGTGAATTATGGTAAAAAGCTAGAGAAGTTCTTAGGAACTAATTTTTACAAAGGCAAATGAAGATCAAGTAAGAAGGTTGCTCAAACCAATATGACCGAAGTGGATAAAATTTCCAATGATGTAGATGACCTAAATCTTTCTACAGTTGTTTCCGAGGCAAACCTTGTCGGAAATCCTAAAGAATGGTGGGTGAACACTGGTGCTATTCGCCACATCTGTGCCAACAAAAAGATGTTCACATCTTATTCTGTAGTAGACAACGGTGAACAACTTTTTATGGGCAACTCCTCGACTTCTAAAGTTAAAGAACAATGAAAGATTATTCTGAAAATGACATCTGGAAAGGAACTCACTCTCAATAATGTGTTGCATGTACTGGACATTCGCAAGAATCTAGTCTCCGGATCTCTGTTGACTAAAAATGGGTTTAAGCTAGTTTTTGAAAGTGATAAATTCGTACTTACCAAAAACGGAATGTATGTAATAAAATGTTACAGGTCCGATGGCCTTTTCAAAATGAATGTAATGACTATTGTACCCTCTGTTATTAATAAACATACATCTTCTTCTTACTTGATTGAGTCTTCAAATTTGTGGCATGGTAGATTATGACATGTTAATTATAGATCTTTGCGAAGATTAATTAATATGGAATGTTTACCTAAATTTGACATTGATTTAAATCATAAATGTGAAATTTGTGTTGAGGCAAAATTATCTAAAACTTCTTTCATACAATTGAAAGGAGTACGGAACCACTTGAATTAATTCATAGTGACGTTTGTGATTTTAAATCAATTCAAACTAGAGGTGACAAAAATATTTTATTACTTTTATAGATGACTATACTAGATATAGTTATATTTATTTAATTCTAACCAAAGATGAAGTTTTGAAAACGTTCATTCAATTTAGGAATGAAGTTGAAGATTAACTTGGTAAGAAAATTAAAAAACTAAGAA